CCCCAAAACCCCAAAACCCCAAAACCCCTTTTAACTAAAAATCAATAGAAATTTAGAGTTAAAAATGTTTCTAACAATTAGTTCGTTAATAGAGCATTTCTAGTCTAAGAGAATAGGCTCATTAAAGTTAAGCCTTCCTCGAGGAGGCTTGAAGACATCTCTAATAGGAGGAGGGTTTGAACCTAATATCTCATCAACTGCCTCTCCATTCTTCTTTTCCAATGGATCTTCAATCTTTTTACCAAGTTGTTCTTTACCTGCAGTCCCATTACTGCTTAAATTTTGGAGATTTACAGTTTCTACATGCTTTTCTTTTTGAGGAATCTTTTCTTCTTCAGAACCAGAGTTGTCACTGGTTTCTGTATCAAAAGGAACTGTACTTTTTACTACTAGGTTTGCTTTTATTTCTTCTTCTGGGGCATTATTATTGATCATCTCTACTAGTTTTTCAAGGTCCATCTGAACCCCTGAATTTCAGTATGCTACCATGTCCTCTTTGATCTTTATCTGGGTTGTTTCAGGTGGAAGCACCTTAATCATCTTCTGGTTGATAGTATCAACATGAAGGATCACTGCCTTCTTACTTCATATAGGGCACTTGAAGCTTTTGAAGTTGTTGTTCATCACAATAAAGTTCTCAAGATCAAATCACTCAATATGTTCTCAATAGTACCCTTTTACTGGGATCCTAAGTCTTGTGCAAGTGATTGGACAAGAAAATTTGAAGTTTAAGGTACGGTCCATGACTATCTCATCATCTTCAGCATACTTCCTTCTCTTGAGTGGTCTTCCCTCAACAATTTCATCCTTGCCCATTCTTCTTCTGAGTGTATTCATTGCTTCAGAGGTATCTTCCTTACATTTCTTGCGGACATAGCCAATAATCTGCTTCTTAGAAAACTTTTTACACAAGAAGATAGCACAGAAATATCTTTCAGGATCTTTGTGGTTGGATACTTTACTGATATCAATGATGTTTTTCTTCATCTTAAGGTAACTGGATATCTCTATAATTTCATCTTTCCTCCGTTTTTCATCGTTCGGAGGTGCAGGCATATCAAATTTGCGGTGTAACACATTGTTTAGATGAAGCATTCCTTTCTTAGGATACCCATGTTCATAGCCTTTTAGATTTACACTGCTTCTACCTCCTGTCATACAAATAAGGTCTCCACTTGGAGGTGGTGGGATCCTCACTCATCTCAGTTGTACGGTAATATCATTTTTCACTGAACTTGATCATTTTAGTAAAGAGTATAGCTTTTCAGGAAGGTCAAAAGCTGCTGAATCCATTGAAAGCTTTGCAAAGGTGTTGACAGTTTTCACTTCGAATGGCTTCAAAATGCAGTATATAGGTAGTATAAAAGGATCCATGACTTTCATCTTACACAGAATTCAAATAAATCCTTTCTTGTCTTCTTGTTGTGCACTCATACATTTCTGATGTTGTTGGCGGCCTCATCTTTCTCATTCAATAACTCTTCCTCCTGTTGTTTTGCCTCAAACACAGTCAATGACATCTTTGCTTTCTTCAGTATGCATTATTCAGGGATATGGATTCTTTGGATTAGAATCTATCTCTTCATATCTCAAATCTTCAATGATTTTTACCCACTCGTTCTCATAAGGATTACACTCTTTAGTCCTTTTCTTCATGTCAAAACCACTGTCGTTCTTTAGAGAGCTTTGTTTAAGTGAGCCGTGGCTAGACTGCCTCACACAGCCAGGGACTTCTTTAACAGAGCCTTCAGTATCGGCTTCATCATCTATAGTTACTACAGACTTGGAATTCTTGATCTCTTCAGCAAATTTAGCTTTGACTAACGGTGGTGGGAAACTCTCAAAAAGTTGCTCAATAATGGTTCTATATAAAGGTAAAGTTAAGAGATGTGGTGATATTGCACTTACTTTGGAAGGATCTTGTGAACAAGAGATTGACCCTCTAGTGTCACTAGTTTCTTACATCAAGCAGTAAGCCACATATCTTTGGTAGAAGATCTTCCAAGATCAACTCCCATTTTCTTGTTCAACTTCACTAAGGCTTTAGTAGTGTTCTTATTAAGTTTCTCCTTAAGATACTCAACCTGTGCGTCTAAGGTGTCTGGATATGTCTTCTTCGAGTGCATTTTTTATTATTTATCCTAACTCAATTAGTGTAATTATAGGCGGGGTTTTGGGGTTTTGGGGTTTTGGGGTTTTGGGG